GTCCTGAATTATCCTATTTCTCTACAAATTTGTTTAATACCATGTCGTTAAATGATCTGGCGCAAAGAACAACTGGTTGATGAACAGTGGGGAAACCAGATATTTCCACACCAAAAAATGTATATTAACTATTGCCCTTAACAATCGAGATATATATTTTGTCTTAATTGGTAATGGTTCTCACATTTATGTTGTCACGACCACATTTTCCTTTTAAACTTTTATATCGTCCTTTACACCTCAAATATATTTTTATCCCCCTTATTACTAATAAAAAAAATATGATTTATGTTCCGTTTAATTAAAATTTGAAGTGACAATGATGAACCCCTTTATCCATCTATCTTGTCCACTCCACAAGTGTTCATATCTTCAAGTTTTTGGGAAAATGACTTAGGAAGGTAACTACCTTTTATCCGTGTTCACATATTGGCAATTTCTTCTTTTTTGTACATAATAAAGCAACTAACTTGTTTTAACTGTTTAAATTACACCAATATTACTGGCTAAAACCTGTTTTAACCGGTAACTCAAAGGGGGAAATGACTTAGGAGGGTAACTACCTCTTATATGTGTTCACATATTGGCAACTTCTTATTTTTTGTACATAAGAAAACAGCTAACTTGTTTTAACTGTGTAACATCCCAAAAATCATGATCAAAAAATTTCATTTTTAATTTAATACTAAAACCATAATTGTCAAACAATGAATTTAATACTCCGGCATTGGGCCTCGCCCGACATCAGGCCCCGCCTGACATCGAGCCCCGTTCGATATACAAATATGTCTCTCTTAGGTCCCGCTTGTCTCCGGGCCCCGCCCGCTAAACATATACAATCATATAACATGATAACACATAAAGAAACATACTCTACTGTATCCCTGTCCTAAGAAACATACTCTGCTAATAATGAGATACGAAACTTCGTCCGTACTCAGCTAGTTCCAACCAGTGCTTCAACAGTGCAAGGTGAGTCTTCTCACTGTGTGAATGGGCCTAAGGCCACAATGCCAGCCCATGTAGTATATGAGTAGGAAGACCCAGTGGTTAGCCCTAGGCATTGTATGCTAGTATGTTATTCCAGACCAAGGTATGATTTCGGGCGGGTGCCCGAGGAATGTTTGCATGTTAGATTATACTTGTTGTTTGTGTGATACAATAGAGTATGTTTCTTTATGTGTTAACATGTTATATGATTGTATGTGTTTAGCAGGCGAGGCCTGGAGACAGGCGGGGCCTAAGAGAGATATATCTGTATACCGAGCGTGGCTCAATGCCAGGTGGGACCTGATGCCGGGCAGGGCCCAATGCCGGAGTATTAAATTAATGGTTTGAAAATTATGGTTTTAGTATTAAATTAAAAAAAAATTGGTCATGATTTTTTGGATGTTACACAGTTAAAACAAGTTAGTTGTTTTCTTATGTACAAAAAATAAGAAGTTACCAATATGTGAACACGGATAAGAGGTAGTTACCCTCCTAAGTCATTTTCCCTTTGAGTTACCGGTTAAAACATGTATTAGCCGGTAATATTGGTGTAATTTAAACAGTTAAAACAAGTTAGTTGCTTTATTATGTACAAAAAAAAAAGAAGTTGCTAATATGTGAACACGGATAAAAGGTAGTTACCCTCCTAAGTCTTTTCCCCCAAGTTATTCCACATTACATCAACGATTAGGCCACTCAGCGGTCATGTGTTGAAGTCTTTAGCGATATATATATATATATATATATATATATATATATATATATATATGTGGGAAAAGTGAATATACTCTTAAGGGTATATAAGCTTAAGTACCCAAACCCATTATAATACGTCATTTTATTTAATATATTCATTATAATGTTCTTAAACTTCAACCCTTGATTTGATTTACTTTCAAAACTTTCGAAATTTCATTATTATTTTCCTCTTACATCACATCTTTTTGCCGAACACCTACTTGGCTATATATATTATAGTTGAAAATGAAAATTATGTAAAAGGAATATAAATGTGAAATTGATAAAAATCTTGTAAGAAAATTAAGTTAGAAGTCAAATGTTTCTAACAACTATTATATGCTTGTATGCATAAATCTGGACCAACAGATGAAATATAATCAATGATCATGATCTGAGGGTCTATGATTCTAATATGGTAACATGTACCATATAATCATACAAATTTTAGCATAAGGGTATTTTAGTCAATTAACCTATATTAAAAAAGGAAATTTTTCGTATTTTAAGGATAATTAATTGCCATTTTTTTTAAATATGAATTTTGATTTTAAATAATTCGAATTTAATTTTAATATAATTCTTAATAAAAAAATCGATTTTATTCTATCAGAATGACAAAAAGTCAACCATAAATTAGTAAATATATTTTTGATTTTATTTTTGAAGAATATAGCTACCTTCAATATATATATATATATATATATATATATATATATATATATATATATATATATATATATAACATGCTTAAAGGCTTATACAACATATTATCAATAATAATATTTTCTAAATAATACATATTTTATTCTTTAAGAATCACTAATTACATTAATTCGTAAAGAATAAGACTATAAACAATTATTACATTCATTTGGAAAAAAAAATCTAACCTATAATGGTTTAAGAAATACATTTAATCTTAAAGATTAAAACTAAACATGGTTACAAAAAAAATAATAAATAAATAAATAAATTCTAACAAAAACACTAATCCTTTCTGAAAGAATATTACTGTTAAGAAACTTTTTATACATTGTGGTAAAATACAATCTGGTAGAATATACTATTGTTCTTTATATTTTCTTCTTTAAGGGTATATTCATTTTTCCCATATATAGAAAAGTGAATATACCCTTAAATGTATATAAGCTTAGGTATTCAAACTCACCATACTACGTCGTTTTGTATCATATATGCATTGTAATGGTCCAAAGTTCTTAACATCCAATTCCTAACTTTATTTACTTCCAATATTTTTATATATTTCACAATTATCTTTTTCTTACATAATTTTCATTTTCAACTATAATATATATAGCCTAGTAGGTGTTCGACATAAAGATGTGATATAATGGAAAGATAATAATGAAATTTCGAAATTCTTGAAAGCAAATCAAGTTAGGGTTTAAAGTTTGAGAACATTGTAATGAATATATGATACAAAACGACATATTATGATGAATTTGAGTACCTAAGCTTATATACATTTAAGGGTATATTCACTTTTCCCATATATATATATATATATATATATATATATATATATATATATATATATATATATATATATATATATATATATATATATATATATATATATATATATTTCTTGTAATAATGACAATATTATAAAATTTGTCAATCATATAAACTCAGAAAGCGCACAAAGCTTCGTTGGTTCTTTTAAATTCCAATGTGTATCATGCATTTGAAATATTTCATTATGATATGTGGACTTCTTCTATTTTGAGTGTTAAGGGATTTTGATATTATGTAACCTTCGTAGATCACCATACTCACTATCTTTGGATCTTTCCTTTGAAACAAAAATTTGATGTTTTTGTTAAATTCCATGAATCATTTCAATATGTTGAAATTTAATTAAAAACAACAATTAAATCAATTCAATGCATAAAAAGGGTGGTATGAAAACAAGCAACCACAATTTCTTTTCTACCAATTGGATTCATTTTTGTTTTATCTTGTCATTGCACTTCTCAACAAAATGGGAATTTTGAACGCATGTTTCACGTTATTAATAAAATGGAGTACACTCTTAATTCCAATCCCATCTTCCGTCAATATAGTAGGTGGAAGCTCTTCACATTGGGGACCCGTCTCCT